GTTGCTCCACAAGGTAATTACTGTTTCTCCGTTTACGAAATACAAAGGGGGGCCACAGCCAATCCTTGGCTCACAAAAGGGGGTTGTAATTCTCAATGCAAGGTTTCTACCTTGGATTTCACATTAATTTTTTCTGACTTAAATTAAAGGTTGCAAACCTGAACTTCAGATGATGTATGCTGGATCAAAACTTAGATTGATTAAGGAAGCTCAAGCAACAAAGGTTTGTTGGAAAATTTCCTTTCAACTTGTGAAAACAAGCACTCTACCGAAAGTTTTGAGTTTCCTCTCTCCAGGTACTCTGGTTTACCTCCCACACGGAATTCATGAGTAAATTGACCATTTGCGTAATAGACTAAATTTTGATCTCAACAAAAATTTCATTACAGCTTGAAAGAGCATCACAAAATTAGTAATATTCCAAAGTTTCGTTGTAAAATGTTGTAAAATGCGGAAAATATAGCCTTGCCAAATTTGCAATTTTCAGTCATTTTAGATTACAAACCGGAAATTGACAGCCTCGAAGGGTTTGGGGCTGTCAATTTCCCGTTTGTAATCTAAAATGACTGAAAATTGCAAATTTCGAAAGGCTATATTTTCCGCATTTTACAACATTTTGCAACGAAACTTTGGAATATTACTAATTTTGTGATGCTCCTTCAAGCTGTGATGAAATTTTTGTCTAGACTTGTTTAGTTCAAAATTTAGTCTATTACGCAAATGGTCAATTAGCCAACCATATTGTCTTAGTTTGCTCACATGATAATACTGGATACCTGATGAAGTATATTGATCCTGTCCTAGGACTGGATCAAAATTAATTCAGTCCTTTGACTGGATAAGAATTAATTAAGTAGTCATTTATTCATATGAGATGTCATTTCAAATCCTCAAATTCGGACTGGACTAGATTTCAAGTCCTCGCATTTTAATCCAGTCCTCGGCTTCGCCTCGGATGTGATCAAATTGCGTGGACTTGAAATCTAGTCCAGTCCTCGTAGTCAGATTTGAAATATTACATAAACTAACCTTTCCATTGTATATCTGCTCTGTGATCAGACACAAGTCAATTATGGTGGCAGCCAGAAGTACTGCTAGTAAGCCTTTTACTCAACCAGGTTGAGCTGTGTCTTCTGATTGTAATTCAGCTTCCAGTAGCAACAGGTGCCTAAGGTTGATTAGTTCACCCCACCCCCACTGGCTTACTTACCTTTTACTTTGGTTACTATAAAAAGCATATTACCTCATTTATTTCAGGATTTTGAAGTTCGAAGTGCAGACGAAATTGACGAAGAATGGCTAAAAGAGAAACTTCGGTTTTTCCGCTGAATTAAAAGTCAGAGCATGGAATTAATGATTGTTGATTCATATATTCAACACGTCACACGTACCACCATCAAATGTATACGTTTTAATACACCTAATTCAATTAATTATTATTATTATGCATTAATTTATAATCCATGAATGTACACAGTGCAAATGAAGTTATTGATGGCAATGCTGTGGGTGGCTTCATATGCATACGAGGCTGATCAAACCTGGGGGGGGGGCACTTAAATATTTGGCCTAATTTGTAAGGATTGTAATAAAATAATTTAAATTTTATTTTAGCATATTTTCTGATATATTCCCCCGCATTTTGTTCATTTTTCCTAGCGTTTTCCCGAATTTCTTTTCTAAACTTTTTTGGTGGGAGGGCCAATTCCCCCCCTGCCCCTGTCTCGTATGCCTATGGGTGGGTTTCGTTAAGTTGGACAGTGCAGCACATGATGGCCAACTGTAGTCCAGCTTGTGGGGTTGGTTTGACAATGTTAGTGAAATTCAATGATCATGAGTAATTATCAAATGTTGCACAATGTTGGATGAGAATTTTAAACATGTCAAACCCAATCCAACATCTTCCACCATTTATAGCCAACATTACCCAACATGCTGCATTCAACAATGGATGATGTTGGACTCATTTGAACAGGCCTTTAAAGGAACGACAGTTTATTGGATGATTAGATTTTTCATTATACATGAAATGGAAACATTTAGCATTATTGCTTATTCTCATATTTTTGGTTTGCACTTTCATATCTTTGTCTTATAAATTTCAAGGGATTGATTGCAAACCACTAATAGGTGTCAATATGTTTGAAGTTGACCTGGGATGGATCCAGATCATAGAAATAATAGACATTATGTCTATTATTTCTATGATCCAGATCTGGTGGGGGGTGGGGGTGTGCTCATCAACCCATGGTCATGGTTCGGTTGCGACTATTGACCAAGTCACCAATCACCCTCCACCCCTTCCTCCCCCCCCCTGAAGTTGACCGCCATGTGTGACACTAACACTTACTGCACTACCAATGGTATGGATAAGTTGAAATCAATACGAACAATTGCATGTGACAAGAATGTATGGAGAACAGTGGGATTTTCAAAACAATGGAACGGGTAATAGAATATTTCGATTGGATGGCACAATTGTTTTGCTAAGTTTATCAAAGCCCATACAAGCAAGGTTTAAATAAATGCTTTTCTTGGAGGAAGTTTTTTCTTTCTTTGAAGTTTTTTACTGTAGAAACCCAGTGGAAAATCAAACCATCTGAAGCTGTCGTATTGGGCCGAGTCATTTCACTGTACACTGCCACCAATCAGTGGTAGAGAATTTCCTAACCAGTGTCCAGTGAAATTCGCAGAGTCACATGGTGGCAAGTAAGCGGACTAAGCGAGCGTGTACACGCCCAAGTTTTGGTCAAACCTTAGGTGTGGTCAAATCTTGACAGAAGAAAGTTGTCCAGAATGTTTACAACTAGTCAAGAGAAGAATAATTTGCCAGAGCCTTGTTGTGAAGTACTGTTTAATAAACGAGCAGGAGTTTTTTATTTGGAATTTACAGTAAAATAGCTTCTAATTGTATGATGGAGCATAACTTCATAAAAAATGTCAAATTACAATTAGTCATGCATATCATCAGTTCGAAAAAGTGCTATGTATTCAAATTCCAAGAATAGCTTGATTTCTAAAGGTCTTGTTTTTTTGTACACCCTGTAAATAGCCGTACACGGCCTATTCAATTAATAATAATAATACCATGATGACCTCGGGTTCTTTTGTTCTCGCCGGGTGGTTCAATCACGATATTCCCGGCTTAGCGGGGAGATATCTAATTCTCCCGGCAAAGCCGGGCAGATTTCTAATTTCTCCCTGATTAAAAGTCATGAGCCAAAATTCAAAGACACGACAAAGAGTTTTCTTAATAGCTTTTACACAACAAACAAAATACAAAATAATTACACTACAATGTTAATGACAGTAAGATAAAGTGTTAATTACTTGACTTATTAATATTCACTTTTCACTAAAACTTTCATATTGCAACTGAACTGTTCGATTTAAACCACAAAACAGACTATACACGACTTCATGGCGGTATTCTTTACCGTTTCTCTTCCGTACTTCTAACGTTAATCGGCTAAACCAGCGATAAATTTCGTCAACGCTCATCTCCTGCAAATCTGGCACACGCCTGAATACTTCACGCTTGAATACGTGACTTTCACAAACCTCTGTTTGCGGGAGATTTAATCATTATATTCTTAAAAACCATGGTATTACTTATTATACAGGGTGTATAAAAAAAAGGTAATCGAAGTTTAGCGCGCTATTATACGTGAATTACTCTGCGTATGAACAATTGGTTTTCATATTCGGAAAGATCAGGCTTTTAGCTGTTGAATGGCATGCTTTTCATGCCAAGTGGAGAAAAAATAAGCATGTACGAGCTAGCCGATTAAAAATGTTAGTCAAAATCGCATATTTTCACCTCTGTGCCTAATTAGAACAATGCATAACAAAAGAAAAAGCAATTAATCACGAACGTGTCGTAGCTTAGCTAAGATTTATTCCTACTTAATAATAATTATGAATATCTGTGCAGTTTAATGAAGTGAAATTCATCAACTTAAGTCCTAAAGGGGGGTTTATTTTCAACGTAGTTACTAAAACATGGAACGACCAACAACGACCCACAACGATCCACAACGACCCCACTACGACCCACAACGATCTACAACGACCCCACAAGGGCCACAACGACCGCCAACGATCCACAACGACCCAACAACGACCCCACAACGACCCACAACGATCCCAAAATTACCTTCAGTTGCAATTTTGCATGACAATAAACAATATAAGTTATTGTTTGTGGATACACCACGTTAGGGATGGGCCGATATCGATACCAAATACTCGATACTATCGATACCAGGGTTTTGAAGGTAAGTATCGATACTGGCAAGAAATATCGATGTTTCGATATTTCTGCGCCTGCGATATTTTTTCAATTTGGTCAGCGGCATCTTCATGAAAATTATACCAAAAAGCTTAAATAGGTGTAAATACTATATTACGAAAATCACCGAACTGTGGAATCGCATCAAAAATTCGTATATCGACCACTCCCACAAACGTCTACGACCACGCCTACATTCGACTACATAGTTTTGCATGTTTACAATTCTAATTTTGAACAGCCAATCAGGTTCTTGGTAATTGGCTGTTTAAAATTAGAATTGTAAACGTGCAAAACTATGTAGGCGCGGTCGTAGACGTTTGTGGGAGTGGTCGATATACGAATTTTTGATGCGATTCCACAGTTCGGTGACTTTCGTAATAAAAGTAGTTCATTTTCTATTGTGCTATAATATTCCATGGGCAGGATGGGAGTTTCTGGTTATGCTGGTTGCAATCTCTGACATATATTATTCAATGTTTATATTGTTAGCATTGTTGCCGTTGTTAAAGGTGATCATTTATTATACTCTAGAAGCTTGAAAATATAAATAGTTGTCGAATAAAGCTCAATATTTTAAACACAAAAATGTAAACAAAGGCTTTGTTTACATACGGACTGTAGATCACCTTCAATGATTAAAAATAGTCTTTTTGTTGTTATGGTTGTTCGAGTTGAGAAAATATCGATATCGATATCGAAAAAAAATGGCAGATATCGAGGAAATATCGTATCGAATGAAAAAGCTGGTATCGCCCATCCCTACACCACGTATTTTATTATTTCATGTGATCAAAATTGGCGGGAAATGCAAGACTTCCACTTGCGCATGCAGAGATTGTTGTTGGATTGTTGTGAACTTGTGGATTGTTGTGGCTGGTGTTTTGGTCGTCGTGGCTCGTTGTGGGGTCGTAGTGGGTCGTTGTGGGGTCGTTGTGGATCGTTGTGGGGTCGTTGTGGGTCGTTGTGGGGTCGTTGTGGGGTCGTAGTGGGGTCGTTGTGGGTCGTTGTGGGGTCGTAGTGGATCGTTGTGGGGTCGTAGTTGGTCGTTGTGGATCGTTGTGAGGTCGTTGTGGCTCGTTGTGGCTCGTTCCATGTTTTAGTAACTACGTTATTTTCAATGCTTTTAGACCCAACTCTTAGCGGCCGGTGAAAATATGCGATTCTGACTAACATTTTTTATCGGATTCGTATTTGCTCATTTTTTATCCATTTGTCATGAAGAAGATATCATTCAACAGCTAAAAGCATGATCTTTCCGAATGTGAAAAAATTTCGTTCATACGCAGAGTAATTCAGATACAATAGCGCGCTGAAGTTCGATTACCTTTTTTTTTTATACACCCTGTATATACATTAATTTTACAACCATAAATATACATATACACGGTATGATGGCAATTTGACCGTGCATGGGGCAGTAATAGTCATATTTAAAAGGAAAGACAGTATTATCCAAGTATTTTAAAATCATATGACATATATAGTTTTTTTTAGCAAAGAAAAATTTTAAAAGTTGTATTAGTTACTAAAAGCAATGCTTTACAGTGCGTCTACAGTAAGTGGGGCCACTTAGAGAACACCAACCAATCGCATTGCAGAACAAAAAGAAAAATCTAATCAAACAAAAGCTCGTCCAATCAAAAGAAAGATTCAGGAAGCCATTAACTGCAGTGCTTACTTTTGGCATGTTGTAAAAGACGGACTGGACTGGACTGGACCAGACTGGACTGGACTGGACCGGGAAAACGCGGACTGAGTCCGTGTTTTACAAATCGCGGGCTGCAATTTGTAAAAGGCGGACTCATTTCCTGAATGCACTAAGGATGAACGGTCGCAGTAAAGTATTGTCTATTCTTATGACAAAGTTCAATGTTTTTACCGAGAAACTTCAATGTTTTTGATGATCATTTATGATCATTTGGTGGTTTCAAAGCTTGGATCTGGTTGTTCAACAGATTAATATCAGATCAGAACCTGTCAAGTGCTCTTGACAAACATCGGAGATTCTCACGCGAATAGGCAATGTTTTTATCAACGACCGTTCATCCAACAAGCGACGGTACATGGACTCAATCCTGTACTGACTCAGTCGCAAAAGTTTTGGCGGGAATTGCACTCAGTCGTGAGAGTTTTGGCGGGAATTGCGGATATTAATAGGTCGGTCAAGGAATAATCATATCCTGGACCTAAGGTTGGTACAAATTACTATTATTTATTGTTTTGAATAAACTGATGAACAGCGTTCAATCTTAATTAGGAACACGCTCAGCCATGTGGGACTTTGTGCCATTATTGTCGAGGAAACTCGTGCGTATATCAAATGTGGCCGTTTCATAAACAGTTGTATGCCTGTATAGATATAGGCTAGCTCTTATAGCCAGGGGCGAAACTTGAGGGGGGGTATGGGGGTGTTACACCCCCCCCCCCAAAATACGAATCATCCCGATTGGCAGGGCAATCAAAGGTCTCTTATAAATAAATGATAGCACATAGGCGTACCGGGCGGGAGCAATATTCGATCAACAGTCGGGCAATTTTGGTTTGAAAAAAAAAAATGGGACAAATTCAGTCAATTTTATCTAAAATTAAGTGAATTTTTTCGCAAATTGTGTGATTTTTCGAAAATTTGTGTTATGTTCCGAAAAATATAGGTTGTCCGGAAAATTTTTTTAACCCCTAAAATGGTACACAGACCGAAATTTTTTTGGCGACGGGGGGGGGATGTCGCCAAAATAATTTTTCCGGAAAAATTTTTTTTGTACTTTTTGGCAGGGCATCACTGGTTTTGGCAGGGCAATTCTGCCAGAAACCTCCCTAATTAAAAGGGGCTAGTTTCGCCCCTGCTTATAGCAGATACCATTTAGTGTTAATCATAATTAGAAGAAAATAGAGTTAATTCGTTTATTTTGTGTTCGTGGCGAAGAGGGCGTATTAAATAAAGGTGTCTACAAATTTGCGAGAAATATGAAATGAATACTCTAATCGAATTTGCCTTTTAAATATTTGTGTTATTAAACAGGGAAACTCTTGCAGGCCATCAAAACATCAAAACAGTCTATTAACTTTTATTGTTGTCATACGAGGAAGTTTCTAAAAATCGTTATTCGATTATAGTATTAATTTCGCATATTTCTCGCAAATTTATAGACACCCTTTTACACCCGTTTTCAAAATTCCGCGACCTAGCTCCCTGAAAAATACTCTTTACTTTTATGTCACAAAAACTGATAAAAATAGCAAACGTAAACAAACTGTCAAAAGACATTTTATAAACCGTATTTAATACCAAAACTGAACAAAAATGAGTTAGATACAAGCACAATACAAACCATCACAACAGAAATATGTGTCGTGAATAACTTTTAAAGTTTGAAAAATAACTATTTATCCAACCTCGTGGTTGCAATTTATCTTGGAATATAGCTGTTTTTAGTATAAAACACACGCGCGCTAGAACGGTGATGCTTAAATTTTGCAATAATTCCCACTAAAAAGTATCTTGAAATCATTGTAAGCCTGTTTATATAAAGCATACAAAGCATATACATCGACAAGGAACCGCAAAACTCAAAGTTTAAACTTCGTGACCGAATGACATAAAACTGACATGTCAACTCTAGCATGCATTTTCGTCCTTGATCGCGTAATTTTGAAAACGGGTGAAAACGTTTGAAAACTCTTCGCCACGAACGCAAAATAAACAAATTAACTCTATTTTAAGTCTAATTATGAGTAACACTAAATGGTATCTGCTATAAGAGCTATATCCAAGGGCGAAACTAGCCCCTTTTAATTCGGGGGGTGTCTGCCAATTCCTGTTAAAATATTGCTTAACCCTTAATATTTTCGGACCAATATAAATTCTATAAATTCCCTCTGAAAGCCCTGTAAATTACTTAATTAACTCAACATTCTATCATTTAGAAATCTTTGATTTATTCAAAACAATAAATAAATAATAGTAATTTTTACCAACCCTAGGTCCAGGATATGATTATTCCTTGACCGACCTATTAATATCCGCAATTCCCGCCAAAAAACTCTCACGACTGAGTGCAATTCCCGCCAAAACTTTTACGACTGAGTCAGTACAGGATTGAGTCCATGTACCGTCGCTTGTTGGATGAACGGTCGTTGATAAAAACATTGCCTATTCGCGTGAGAATCTTCGATGTTTGTCAAGAGCACTTGACAGGTTCTGATCTGATATTAATCTGTTGAACAACCAGATCCAAGCTTTGAAAACACCAAATGATCATAAATGATCATCAAAAACATTGAATTTTCTCGGTAAAAACATTGAACTTTGTTATGAGAATAGACAATACTCTAATGCGACCGTTCATCCTTAGTGCATTCAAGAAATGAGTCCGCCTTTTACAAATCGCAGCACGCGATTTGTAAAACACGGACTCAGTCCGCGTTTTACAAATCTTAGTTCGCGATTTGTAAAACACGGACTTAGTCCGTGTTTTCCCGGTCCAGTCCAGTCCAGTCCGTGTTTTACAAATTCAGTCCGCGATTTGTAAAACACGGACTCAGTCCGCGTTTTCCCGGTCCAGTCCAGTCCAGTCCGGTCCAGTCCAGTCCAGTCCGTCTTTTACAACATGCCCTTACTTTTACAAGTTTATTTTCACCGTTTGACATTCGTTAATTTGTTCAAATTGTTTTTAGCCTAATGCTGATTGGCTAATGCGCCGTTTGTTGATTTTTTCAATTTTTGTTCTGCAATGTGATTTGTTAGTGTTCTCTAAGTGGCCCCACTTACTGTAGACGCACTGTAAAATCGTATCAAACCTTTGGCTTTGTATGCAAAACCTTGCACGATATAATAGTACTGTAATATTAAGCTTATGGTTTCCTTGGCAGAACGAAAGTTCAAAATAGGTGTTAATAAAACCAATGTTTTACACTCGTATGGACTATTGCTCACTTCTGCTTGTAATCCTGATAATGCATGAAAGCCTCCACACCCAATGCCAACACGACAAAGAGGCCGAAAAGCCCTGAAACCCGCGCCATATTTGGATGTTTGGCATGTGTAGCGACTATTAGCTCAGTGATTGAACTCACACCAAGTCCAAGCGTTCCAAAAACACATAGAACAAGATGGATCCCAGGGTGTTCATTATAAAGAGTTGCCAACCTTTCCCAGAAATCTTGAACCAGACGGAGAAAACAGTCGATGAGGGTGAAGACAAAAGTCGTCCACACGACTATTCTCACAAATTCAAATTCTGTTTCATGGTCATGCCCGGTCTTAGGCGCAAGTGCGGCTGAAACAAGGCAGAGAAACAACTGCACAATTTTTAATCTTCCCACCCATGTATTGCGGAAGAATTCAAAATTGAAGGAATTCTCGTTTGAACGCTGTTGTTTGCCCGTTAATAACCCGTCCATTTTTGTGGCTGTTGCCTAGTTAACAAATATAAAACATTTTCCATGTTGATATAACTATATATCAATACGGAAAAAATGTTTTATATATTTTTTATAATATAGCAATGTCGAAAGCCCGAAGGATAAGAAAAATTTCCGTATTTACAAGCGGCGGAAAATTTCCCGTGTTGACATTGAGTTATATCAACACGGCTCTTAGCCAATCAGGGTTCAGAATTTACAAATGCTATATTATAATAATGATTTTTATTCAACAGGTTGTTGTGACTACAAATAAAAAAGCGCTCTGCATGTGCTGCATTTTCTTCATGAATTAACGAGTTTTACAAAAACAGTTAACATATTTTTCTCACTTCTCTATATTGGTGTCAGTACATTTAAAGCTGACCACCATGCGTGCATGTGTAGCAGCACCATATAAAACACTTCGCTGAACCCACCTACACGAAAGTGAAACTGATTTCAGCGCATAAATGATTAAACAGGTTCATGCGTGTTGTCTCATGCATGTGTTCTGAATTTTGCGTGACATTTGCAACTTGACATGCATTTAAATCTTTATTTCATACAAACTGTAGAAATTTTGTTCTTACTACTTCATCTATAATCAAACTTACATTTATTAACTTACAAAATAATATAACGTCACAAATATTTCAAAACAGTGACTGGATGGCATGGAAACAGTGGGATTTTCAAAACAATCAAACAGGTTAAGCTGGTTTTCCACTACACACGTAAAAATCTCACAACTTGTCAACAAGATGTGTTCGCAACAGGCTTGTAGCAAGCTTGTCAACAAGTTGTAACAATGCTGTTATTGTATCATGTTGCTACAAGCTTGTCACTCACAACTTGTTGACAAGTTGTTGAATTGCAGGACGATAACAAGTTGTTCGAACAACTTGTAACAAACAAGCTGGGAACAAGCAGTGCCAACACATCCTGTCATTTTTTTGCAAAAGCATGCACTCAAGAACAAATTATATCCCAGTGGGAAATCAAATCAATTGAAGCTCTGAAATTGGGCCAATCAGAATCATTTCATTGTACACTGCAACCAATCAGTGGCAGAGAATTTCACAACCAATGAAATTCGCACAGTCACATGCGACGAGGCAAGTTTGAAGCTGACACATACTTGAAACGAACTTATAAATGCCCAAGTGTGGTCAAGCCTTAGGCGTGGTCAAAGAAAGTTTAAAACTAGTCAAAAGAAGAACCTTATTGTAAAGCACATAAAGGTAATTTAAAGCAAGTGTTGTCTGAAAACAGTGGTCTCAATGCACATTACTAATAGTTCAATGCATTTTGATGAAATTTAAATTTCATGGCATGCATTAGTCATGCACATGGCCGATCGCTACCTAGTCATACGCACTGGTTAATTTTGCTCGAGATAAAACGTTTTCACAAGCACTTTAAAAAGAGCCGCATTTTCAGACAGAGACGTGACCTTGAAGCTGTTATTATGCACACATGTCCTTCAATAATGCCTTGCTAGGCACTTAGTTGGATCCTTTGAAATTTCTGTCCTCGCGCATAGCGCATTACTCATGTTGTTTAGCCAGTAAACTGCATGTTCTGGCCAATAAGCACGCTGAACTGCCGCGTCCTATTTTTCCATAAAAATACGAGGACACGTCGTACCGCTAAGTGGCACTATTGTCCCTCCCTACACTGCAGCAATGCCGCATGGAAATTATAAAATCTCAAAACCAAAACTATTAAAAGAATGGAGCTGTACGCAAAGATGTGTAAAATATTGACAGGGTGCATATACTAAATATTGACTTATTTAAGAAATTAAAATATCTTTGTATAAAGTGCGATTTTCTGCTCTTGGGAATTCAAAGCAGCTTCTTAAACAGTTTCTTTATGCATAAAATTTACTTATGTCAAGCTTTTATACACTTGTGTGTTCAGCGGCGTGCTGAGACATTCATATTCTAATAATAAGTTATTTCTGTCAACAGTTTTGGGTTTTTTTGGGACACCCTGTATAGATTTGTATTCCCTTAGGGAATTATTAAAGTCAATCTAAGCGAGAGAGGCTTCACCAATCAAGGAGATTCTTTTGTAAAAATGGACGAAAAGTTAAGGCTACAATAGCCTTACTTTTTTGACATTTTTTTCCCTTTTTCAAAAATGAAAAAGTGGCTAAAAATGGACGAAAAGTTAAGGCTATAATAACCTTACTTTTTTGCCATATTTTGCCCTTTTTCCACGCACGAAAGTGAACATGAAAAATATGGCTAAAAATGGATGAAAATTTAAGGGACTAACCTTTACTTTTTACCATTTTTCACACACGAAAAAAATGGCTGTAAATGGCCAAAACGTTAAGGGATTAGCCTTTACTTTTCTGCCATATTTTGCCCTGTTTTTACAGATGAAAAAAGTGACTAAATGGACGAACATTTATGGGGTAGCCTTTATTTTTTGCAATTTCTTGCCCTTTTTGAAAACTGAATAAAAGTGGCTAAAAATGGACAAAACGTTAAACGTTAAAATTAGCCTTCACATTTTTGCTATTTTTAAGTCTTCTTGAAAAATCAAAATATGTAGCTGAAAGTGGAAAAAGCTAAAGCATTAACTTTTTTCAACAAAAGGTAAGGACTTAACCCTTCACGTTTTCGCCAGTTTTGGCCACTTTTCAAAAACTGAAAAAGTTGTCAAAAAAGCCAAAGAGTTAGGGGGTTAGCCTTTACTTTTTGGAACATTTGGTGGACAAAAATAGCGAAAACATTAAGGGTTAGCATTTATTTGTTGGTCTATTTTATCCCTATTTTATCCCTATCTAGAAGTGGAAAAATGAGCTTAAAAGTAAAGGGCAACCCCTTGGTAATATTGGCACCGTCTGGAAGCTTGTCCTCATCGTCAGGAACTTTGTCCTCACCGTCAGGAACCTTGTCCTCACCATCAGGAACCTTGTCCTCAGCGTGAGGAACCTTGTCCTCACCGTCAGGAACCTTGTCCTCAGCGTGGGGAACCTTGTCCTCAGCGTGAGGAACCTTGTCCTCACCGTCAGGAACCTTGTCCTCATCGTCAGGAACCTTGTCCTCACCGTCTGGAACCTTGTCCTCATCGTCAGGAACCTTGTCCTCACCGTCAGGAACCTTGTCCTCATCGTCAGGAACCTTGTCCTCACCGTGAGGAACCTTGTCCTCACCGTCAGGAACCTTGTCCTCACCGTCAGGAACCTTGTCCTCACCATCAGGAACCTTGTCCTCACCGTCAGGTACCTTGTCCTCAGCGTGAGGAACCTTGTCCTCACCGTCAGGAACCTTGTCCTCACCGTCAGGAACCTTGTCCTCATCGTCAGGAACCTTGTCCTCACCGTCTGGAAGCTTATCCTCACCATCAGGAACCTTGTCCTCACCGTCAGGATCCTTGCCCTCAGCGTGAGGAACCTTGTCCTCAGCGTCAGGAACCTTGTCCTCACCGTCAGGAACCTTGTCCTCACCGTCAGGAACCTGGTCCTCAGCGTGAGGAACCTTGTCCTCAGCGTGAGGAACCTTGTCCTCACCGTCAGGAACCTTGTCCTCATCGTCAGGAACCTTGTCCTCACCGTCTGGAACCTTGTCCTCATCGTCAGGAACCTTGTCCTCACCGTCAGGAACCTTGTGCTCACCATCAGGAACCTTGTCCTCACCGTCAGGAACCTTGTCCTCACCGTCAGGAACCTGGTCCTCAGCGTGAGCAACCTTGTCCTCACCGTCAGGATCCTTGCCCTCAGCGTGAGGAACCTTGTCCTCAGCGTGAGGAACCTTGTCCTCAGCGTGAGGAACCTTGTCCTCACCGTCAGGAACCTTGTCCTCAGCGTGAGGAACCTTGTCCTCAGCGTGAGGAACCTTGTCCTCACCGTCAGGAACCTTGTCCTCACCGTCAGGAACCTTGTCCTCACCGTCAGGAACCTGGTCCTCAGCGTGAGGAACCTTGTCCTCAGCGTGAGGAACCTTGTCCTCACCGTCAGGAACCTTGTCCTCACCGTCAGGAATCTTGTCCTCACCGTGAGGAACCTTGTCCTCACCGTCAGGA